CCGACTCGATCAAAGCAAACGTAGGTGCAAAACTATGTGTTTCCCTACCAAAAGACGTGGCCTCTATGGGATCATTCTTGGGCCTGATTATTCATGTCCAGTTATTTTTAATGACATTCTCCAATTCCGATAGTTCATAAACACGTTACTGAAATGAGGGATTAAATTTATATAGTGGCATGATTGTCGAAATGCACTTAACAGCTCAAACACGATGTCAAAGTACGATCTTTTACTCCCATGGTTAAACTCGAATCTGTTGCGTTTAGTCGCGTTAGATCCCTTTAACCGTAGAAGTCATGCAGTCGTGTTATCCTGGACGCTTCAGAGAAGGCCTTATCATTAAACGTGATCCATCATTCAAGCAGAAAATGACTGTGGACAGGTCGAGAAGAAAGCTCGGACAACAATCTTGGCTACAAAGATATTTTACAAGATTCTCGGTACGGTCGGCATTCCACACTAATCGCGCACCAGAAACCATCAGTCGCGATTTTGCAATCCAAAACGTTATTGCAGTGTATTCAACTAACGAACTGCAGCGCTGGGAAACCATTCATCTTGAATACGAGTTGGAGGTTAAGAGCCTGTCCTGTGGGAATATCGATGAAACCGATGCGATCTGATTGGACCAGTGCAAAGAGTCCTTCGCTGTTTTTGTACACGGGAATCCTAATTAATTGGGTTATTTTTGTGGATATCACACGTACTGAGGCAGTCGCTGCAGGAAAAATTTGCCGAGTTAAGCAGGACAGTGGTAACATCACCAAATTGTCACCTCAACGGAGTGTGTCCGAATCCCATGAACACTACATGACGCCCGTTTCTGTATTGTGGGGCAGCCCTTTGATTGGCCGTTTTCCTCTTCCTAAAAATTGTATCATCATGAGTTCAATATAAGCAAATAAAATTAAAAAGGCTCTACAGTGTTTAGGAAAAATCATGCAATGTCATTTCACTCAGTCATCAACAACGATTCCAGGGGGCCTCAGGTGATTTGATCGATGTGAACATGTGCTATCCATTGGGACGACTCATCGTGCCCAAAGGTATCCAGATGAAGGTGTTACGACAGTGTCACATTGGACACTCAGGAATCAATCGCATAAAGATCCCAGCTCGCAGTGCGGTATACTATCTGAAAATAGAGAATTAATTTAGAGAACTGCCTCCTGCCCGCAACCGTTGTGCAATGAGTTCGAAGATGCCAACAAAAGTCAACCAGTGGCCGTTAGCGGGAGCAAAAAGACATTGGAAGTGAATTCATCCAGGCTAAAACGGACCACTCACAAGTCATAACGAATTGACCGCAGTGGACGNTACAGTACATGGCAGGATGTGTTCCCCTTGAAGAACATGACAAGTGTTACAAAGATCCAGATCCCACATTGCTGTGGTTCGTACTCGGACTAGTATTTTGTATACGTATCGGATCCCGCGCACAAATAGACCGACCCAGAACTAGAACTGGAAACGAGATCAACGAAGTCAAGTAATAAGCGAAAATTCGGAATATACAAGGATATCGTGTTCAATAAAACAAAAGAGATCATAGTTCATGAGCAATCACCACACCCACTCCTTGGATACCTATTCCGCAGATTTGGATGCTTGGATGTTCTATCAAACGAAAACTTTAAGAACATACAGTATCCACTAGACCAACCGAATTAGCCATGGATACGTCTATTCGAAGATAACAGATCAGAGACCGGAGACGGGAGACCCACCAGTTAAATAACCGAACATGCCAGACCCCGAAACTTACAAACGTAGTCTCATTAGTTCTAGTTTTGATGCTGAGTAAAATTTTTGACGTAATGCGACTGAACATATCCGCTGAGGAAGAGAAAAGAGATACTGGGGGAGTATTGCATCAGGCATCCTGGAGTGCAATATTTTGCGAAGAGAATGAGTTTTTGCAAGGGGTCACATTCACACCTAATCCTAGTGCATGCTACGGTGAATTTACCGGTAATGCCTTAATCTAATGTAAGATATTCATGTCGGTCTAGACATCGCGGTAGTTGGACGAATATGAACTGATTGACTTCCATTGAGAACCACATCTGAACAAACATGAATTGCCTGTCTCTGTCAGTACTGGCTTCAAAAGGTTCGCATAGTGGGCTCAGATTCTACGGTGTGTAGGCCCTGTTGAAAACGAAACTGGAGTCTGGTGCTTTCTGCGTGTACGATTGACGGATGTACTGCGGACTGCGCGTAAATATTACGTCTGTAGGTTGGCCAATTCGAGCCAATAACAATTGTCCTGTACCAGGACTCAATATGAATTTCTTCCTTGCAATCGACAGAAAAGCCCTTTCTTCTTGGAATCATCTTTTTTGACCGTTGGGAAATCGATCCTTCGGGTGTTCAACACATTCCGTGTGATAAGGTATGTTTGGTGTGAGTGAACGCTTCAGACCATTGTCTGTTAAACCTGTATATATTTAGTGTTAAGCGAACAATTAGGATACAAAGCACCTTTGATTAATAAACCGGTAAACCCTTTGACAGGCCGTACGGAAGCATCAGGAAGTAAAAATCTAGTACTTGATCATTGTTTCTAGCCTTTTGGTCCGGTATCGGTGACTCCAAGTGATATTTTTTTAGTTTTAGCTGCTTCTGGCCCACAGTACTCCTATTGCTGTCGTAGCTACTCTCTAGTAGGTTGTTTCAACCTTTCGAAAATGTAAGCTCTAATCTCTTAGAGGTGTTACGAAGGCACCATTGGAGTATGAAATATTTCCAAAGATAATATTAAAATATTGTTTAGTTACGTTCACGAGTATGCTCTCAATTGATCGTATTTTAATCTTGGCTTCCAACGTTCAATGCAACCAAACAATATGTCGACTTGCACACTTTACAACTCATATAGTATAACTTAATGGCAGATTTTACGTTTATAATTAATTAGATCTTGCCAAATTTAACGTAGTTGTCTATATTCTGATCTGAAAACTATATTATTAGCGATGCATTTCCGAATACCATTAGGAAGTTTGTCTATCCATCGTGTGTTTGGAATGTCAGGTTCTTTGTAGCATCTATTAAAAGAAACATACCACCACTGAACTAGTAAGCTCTTTGTATAACCAGTAACTGAAATCAACTAGTGGATTCGCTTGACTTCACTGACGGACAGAAGGGAAGCTGCTGAAAGAACCCAATGATGCAACCTCGAGTAACATGCATAAAATTTCATCCCGACCTACTCCCTTCAACGTTTCTGTTAGATTCTCCGTCTGTTTGTTTGTTTGTAATCCGTTGTTCTCGGTCACTCGATACTCTCGGCGTTCTGTTTCACCCCGACAGACATCTATCCGATCAATTGTATCGAGAATAATACTAAACGTGCCAGTGTCCTGAGAGGTGAACAAGCTGTTTCGCTAGGCAATGCAATTTGGTGTGGATATACACTTCGATCGTACCGTCAGGCAATGCAACTGTTGCACGAATTTCGTCTGATTGAAGAGGAGCAAATCCTGGCAGTTACTGATTGTCTCGCGCGTCATATACAGCAGAATAAAATGAGCCGAAGGGAAAAGCGTGGTCGAGTCTGCTCCATCCTGACCGGATTTATAAAGGATACCGTTCGTTTTGGTTGCCAGCCTGTTTCACGCGATATCGGATTGTACGCAGGGGAATGGTGAGTTTGTGATTTGATGAAGAGACCAAATTGCTTTGAAGCATGGTACTGATTATATTAGATGGCATCGGTCTAATTTGTTGCTTTTATTATTTAAACAAGATGTGTGGAGCAAGTTTCGTTCTAAGCATACATTTTTCGCTTTAGACGAAATAGTGAATCATGAATCTTCCATTTCATTTGGTATTGTACATCCGGGATCTGATAGCTCATCATTTCTGGTGATTTCTTCTCCAAAAAAATGTTTGTCATACACGTGAAGTTTACGAACTGTACTCCAAGGGATTAGGTTAACGTCACTTGGCAATAAGGGGGAAGGAAATACAACGTAACCAGTGAAACGAAACAATCAACAGCCTACTCAATGGTTAATTGGATGTGATGGCGGCACCCCAAAGTTGCAAAAGGCTAGCCTGGTTTTCTCTGTTCTTGATGTGATGATCCGTTGCACAACACCACATTCAACTGTGATAAAGCTCTTGATCTACTTAAAGCTCTAGGCTATCTCTGAATTACTAAGACAAAAGGTGAATGTAGGCAGAGTCTGCTTAACATCTTCGGTAAAAATCCTTTTTATTTGGTTGATACACAGCCTATACCATGTCTGTTTATTACAATAGTCAAGCAGTCCGAAGTATGCTGCACTGTCTGCGTACTGTCACTCATAAAGACGATACCATTAGCATATTACAGGTGAACAATGCTGGTCCTTGCAACTCCATCGTTTTTCAGCCCGAACAAAGCGTTTTGCAGAACATCATTACCAGCATAGTTGAAAGGGAATGGGGATATAGGGCATTCCTGTTGCATCCCACTTTAGATGGCAAAACCGGGGGGGGGGGGGNGTGAGAATCCACACAATTTACGGGTACCTCATTTGATAACAAACACTTTCATGGTACAATTTCATCAATGGAATCGAATGCCGCGTGGATGCCTGGGGATAAAGTGAGTGTTGGTGCACTGGCACCTGTCGAAGGGTGAAAATTTGGTCGGTGTATTCATGAATGGGGCGAAACCCAGCCTATTCCTCACGGGTTTGCTCTTCGCGCGTACTGTTCAATCTACGAAGAATGGAGGATGCCAAAAGCTTGGGCACTACTGTGATTAGACTTATAC